TGCCCGCGCCGCAAACTACTAAATAGGGAAAAATGAGCCTCGGTCAGTATTCGAACCGACAACCATCCGCGTCTCGGACGCGCGCTGTACCAACTGAGCCAATGCTGAGGCTTTTGAATGGGTGAAGCTTATCTCCGCTGTGGCTCACAACCCGAAACATATGGCCGTCAGAGGGGCAAAAGGGTACCGTCGACTAGATTCGAACCAGCGACTGTTTGAGTACCAGCCCATCACGCCGCACGGTTGTAAAGTCATGGCCAGCGGAGCGCGAAAAATATCACCCGGCCGAGATTCGAACCAGTGACCAGGTTCATACTGGGGCCAGACGCCACCGACTCGGCCACGACGGGACGGTACGGAGGACAACTTACGGAGACATGCACATCTCAGCTGTGACTGACGCCCGAAGAGACTTGGCCAGCAGAGCAGGAAAAATAATCGCGGACGGGATTCGAACTACCGACCATCCCCTCGATCTGCCAACGATCACGCTTTAATACGCTCGGCTACCAGCTGGCTCCTTCGGGGCCGAGTTTTGAGCTCGGACCTGCTTAATAAACCGGAGACAAAAAGCGACAAAGAAAAAATTTGCCCCGCCCGGGAGTGGATCTTAGGGCTGACAATTTTGGTTCGGATGAAGCTGCATGCGGTCACGTCGACTGTAGCCACAACTGTTTAGCTACAAAAGGGGCGTGTGGCTGGTGGCGTCGGATATCGTATGTTGCCCCATTTGTGACCTCATTTTTGTGTCCATGAACAGGGACGTGTCCACTACCACTTGTCGCCGCGACACGAGTTGTCGCTTGGACGCCTGGGAGGTAGGCCACGGATTCTCTCTAAGGCCTCTGTCGTGACGGGGACTTTGGGTTTAGGCTTCTTTTGACCCCAGGTTCATAAATCCTTTCTAGAGCTGAGCAGTGACGCCGCGTCAATCTAGGCGTGGGTCGATGATTTTCGCTGAAAACGCCTGGAGGGTAGGCAGTGCTTTCCTGAATCGGGCCCTTCGCGGCCCCCTGTCCCTCCGAGTGCTTGGACAAGGCGAGAGCTTCGGATATGCATTGATATCTTTCGTTTTCTCTTTAGTTCTTAGCGCTGTTTACTTCTGGTTGATATTCTAGCATTGGCGGAAGTAATGAACTCGTCTATAGACGGTTCAGTTTAAGCTGACTCGGGCCCTGTCGGCTGTAGCTACAATCGTGTAGCTACAAACAGGGACGTCCTGTTTATGGCCTCAAATGGGGCAACATACGATGTCTGACGCCACCAACCACACGCCCCCTTTTTCAGGTAAACAGTTGTAGCTACAATCGACATGACCGCATGCAGCTTCATCCGAACCAAAATTGTCGGCCCTAAGATCAACTCCCGGGCGGGGCAATTTTTTTCTCTGTCTCTTCTTGTCTCCCGTTAGGCAGGTAGACGAAGCGTCTACAGTATACAGTAGGGGACAGCCAGAAATAGTACTGTTTTTTGATGTATTTGTAATTTATTTTTTTTCAAAGAAAGCAATAAACTTTCAACTGATTTAACAATAACTTCAACAACAAGGGAACTCCTTTATCTAATTATGGCGCTTATTATACAGATGATTGTGAACAAAGTCAAATTTTACTAAAACAAGTCTTCAACAAACAAAAAAACACTGACTAGCAGGAAGGGATGCAAGTTTAATGATTTGCGTTTTATTTTAACTGATAAGAGAAATAAGAAAATTTGTCTGTTTTGGTTTTTAATAGGTATGTTGTTTTAAATGCAAAATAAATAATTGGACAAAACCCTATAAGAGTTTTTAACCATAAATTTACCATTCAAAAGTATGAAAATTTGAAGGATGTAAAATTCAGAGTTAAGTTTAAGTCTGTGATAAAAGATTGGGTATTGGACAATACAGATCACTAAGAATGTGAAAGAATACTGCCAAAACCCTTGGGCCTTCTCCATACAAAAAAAGAGCCTCTGTATGCAAGGATTCCATATAAAAAGCAACGGTAGTCAGACAAAGACTTACATACTAGTGTTTAACACATGTGTGAGTAGAGCACTATAAAAGTCAATTAGCTGGCGATGGGAGTTTTCTATAATCCATAGAGCAAAGTAAGGAAGATAAATATTTCAAATTGGGACACAAATTGTTGTTTAATTGTACCCCATGTGATCTACTTGAACCTGCTCTATATTACATATATATTATACATACAGTTTTATGCTGCTTTGCATTTGATAATGTGAATTGATAGAACACAACAAAAAGAATGCAATAGAAGAAAGACAATGATAATTATTGTCAGAAGTTCCATGATCTTGGCATATCTCTGACAAACTTTGGATTTTGTCCTGCTGTTGATGGAAATGAGCTGAAGGCAGTATAAATTACACAATACTAAGCAATTAAACATTTTAAAAAGTTTCCACAAGTTCTGGGTTAAAGCTAGCTAAGTTGTTACCCTGATTCAGGCCGTGTTGTAAAATATTCAATTAGGATTTTAGATCATGAAAGAACAATGTCCAAATTATTTAAGAATTTTTTTTACTTTGGAACCTTGGACCTATTTTATTTGGTGCAGCACAACACCTTCTTGAAGAACACAAATATCATCTCTTTCGGGATTAACAAAGGGTGTGTTACATTTCATGAGGTTCAATGATTTGATTTGACAGCCCTGATCAATTTTGTTATGAAGTATTAACCAAAATGTTTGTAAAGTCTTGAAATTAAATTTAAGAAGTACAACCTTTGTTTCCTGTGAAGAACGTAGGAACGACAACAGAGTTGTTTTAAATGCCATAGATTATGAAGAAGTTTAAGCTCTTGAAATTTTATGATCATTGATGATAAACAATAGTAATAGTGTTCAGTGTGGCAGACGCCTTTAATTTTGACTGCTTCATATATCAATCCAATTAAGCATCATAAGTTGGGGTGAAAAGGAGTTGAAAAACCTTACAATGTAACAAAGTGTAAAGAATAAGAATCCTCTTGAACCCTCAACGTTAGATTTCTGACAAAAAAAAACTAAGGCAGGACTTAGATACAAACTGGATTAAACAATATTTGGGTTAAAAACACCTTAAAACTGTATACTAAATCCCCACAGTAGCAAGCTCCCCTGCGTCATACCAAAATTATCAATTGGTTTAGCGAAAATAAATTATGGCATATTTTCATCTGCTCGACCACAGCCATTTATAAATTCTAGAATGATCACTGCAGGGTCTTTCCCAAAAACATGAGCAATATATAACATTAAACAAGAGTCAATGAAACTTAATTATCTAAGCAACATAAAATAGAGTGTAGTGCCTCCCAGATTTATTTTATTTACAATCTTTTGGGCAGGTTGGGAAAAATATGAACACTAGAATTATGAAAGCAGAGAAAGTTAAATATAACAGTTAATAGGCTTTGAAAAATGTTAGTATCCTCTCAAACACATATGACAGAAGAATGAATAAAAATGGGTGTTAAAATTTCAAATGTTTAATGAAATAGACCATAGCAATACAGAGGTCAAAATTTAAGGCCTGAGATTTCTCTACACTATATAAAACAGATAAGATAGATTAAAATCTTTGTTCACATAATCACAATAATCTTCCTTCTTTTGTGCTAGTTTACTCTTGACCCTGCTCTAGCAGCATGTTGAAAATCACACAGCACTTTGCTTGTTTTTCCCAGTACATAAAAGGACACTTTCTCAGAATTATTTTATGTGGACTCAGCTCAACTGGCCCTGTATACATCATGGCACTTGTTAGACCATGAATACAAATAAAAGAAACGGTTTTGAAAGTACATATGTCTTTCTTGGAAATCCTTTTACTGCTGGTGCTTTAAAACAATTTTTTACACCAACTACCCATTCTCTCCCCACTTTCACACTTAGTACCAGTGTACCATTGGTGCCATGTTGGGCAGTTGATCAAGGTAGCTCAGTTTTAAAATATCCATTTAGAAATGTGTAAAGAGCATGAGATAACAGCCTCCATTAGAACAAAGTTACTCTTACTATTAACAATATTTACAAAGATAAAACAATGTTTTGTATTTTGTGCACAAATACATACGATTGATCAAGTAAAGAAAGTCTTTCAAAATATATGTACAAAACATTCAAAACATGCTAACAGATTACAGTTCTGATGTTCTGATTAAAGTACACCTACTGAGAGAGAGAGATGATCACACAAGGTTACTTAACATGCACTTCTTCCATCACAGATTTGAAGGCTTATAGTCAAGCTAGTTTTTAACATCAAGAAATAAAGCATTCACTCATAAAAAAATACTAAATTGATCGCAATACAAAGGCAACCAGTCCAGATTGTTAAACCCCTTTTCACAGATACATATTGATATCTGAACTACCTATCTAATTAAGTGAAAGGCTCAGCAAAAATGTAATGAATGATAAGGTTAAGCCAACTCATTGATTAAATAGACTGTTGATGGTAATCTGTTTAATTGTTTAAGTACAATAAAGAAAGATGATGTAACACAAATGCAAGGTACTAGGAAAATGTTGAATGAAAAGTACCATACAATGCACACAACGAATGCTAGAAAACAGGAATATAAAACAGTTTAGAAGAGAGCTTTTCAGAAAAAAAAATGACTGAATGTAAGGAAAAACAGGTATTACAAAGACAAGATTGCGGAGGGATGTAAAATCCATTTAAAATTAAAGTACATGAGCCTTTATTTATTTTTGCCTTTATGGTCCTAGAGAATCAGTCCAGCTGGTCCTCTTAAGGATCACAGGCAGGTAGGTATGTCACTGATGTTCCATCTAATTGTGACACTAAATCACCATTGGAAATCTGAATACTCAATTGTTTGAACAAATGACAAAATTTTCACAATCGAAGCTGTCTCTTCCTTCAAAACGGTTTTTGCAACAGATATTCCAGATCAATTTTTTGCATTGAAATATCATAGTGCACATGTAGTGGAGAATTGTTATGATATTTGACACAAGAAATATGAATTGCAATCTAGAAATTTAATACCAGAAAATTAAGAGGACGGTTTAGATGATGAAGAGCTAGATTTGAAAAATTTGTCAATATTGAGCAAGTTTCTAATCTGTTCTAAGGGAGAGCGCTGGGAAGTGTATGGAAGGTCTACTGGTCGAGCTGGAAGATGTACTTGCAAAGGGTCTCGTAGTTTAGCCAGCATTTTTTCTAACTGATAGGCAGAAGCCTTCAATTCATTGTATCGAGCTACATCAAGCCCCCTCCTCTGAGCCAACCTATGGAATGCTCTGAGGAATGAACGGCTACGGTATCCTTCATATCCACATTCCTGAAAGCAAATGATGATTTATTTTACCATGATACTTACTAGAAAATGCAGAACAAAAAGCAAAAGATGAATCAAAAACCAAAATGATTGCCTTACCTGTCCTGTGACAAGTGAATATCCATAGAATCCCATGGCTGTGAAGTAAGTCACAAAGTATGTAACCGGTTCCATTATGTCCCAACTGTACTCCCACCATGTCAGTCTTCCTAGAACTCCAAACTGCGCCCCCATTAGGAAGAGGAGGAAGAAAGTTTTCATAACCACCCACGACTCGGCTTGAGTGGAAATTTCCCGGGCAATCTGCAACGGATAGAATAGTTGAGGGACGCCATCTCTTTGCGAGATGAGCGGTGAGAGCACAGAGTATCCATCCAACCCACCTCCTCCATGGGCGCGAGCTCCGTCTTGGTCTCCTCGAGCCTGGCGAGCAGCTCCCGCTCCATGAGCAGCTGGTGCTCCTGGACGTTGAGCGACTCGTACAGCCGCATCACGAGCAGGCGCACGTCGGACATCTGCTGCGCCTGCTCCTGGGACAACCTGGCCACGGGGGGCACACGCACCGTGTACTCGACGTCGTTAATCTGGAGCTTGAAGTTGTCCTGCAGCAGAGACTCGATCGAGTTGCCAGAGCCGATGCGGACGCCACCTGGGGGCAAAAGTGAGATACAAAGACTTTGAGATATGTTTCAATATCACCGTAGGGCACGCCTATCTCGCCATAGCATGGCACTATGGCAGCTTTTACCGCGCTCCCACGACGGACTTGCGCCGGTAGGTCGACAACCCAAGTTACATGGCCAGGGGGGCCAGTTGGGAAAGGGGGGGGGGGGCAGGCTGCAGCTCCCTAAAGTACAAGTGGTCTAGAAGTGCTGAGTTTGTGTTTAGTTAACGGGGTGCTGGGGTGCTACGGGGTCCTATAGGGGGTTCTGAGCTGTCGGGAACGTTTTCCCCCCATATACTTAGGTTTATAAGGCGGCGAGTCTCAGGACCCCGTAGCACCCCTCAGCACCCCGTAGCACCCCCCGTGGCACCCCGTTAGCTAAACGCAAGCTGACTTACCCATGGTGCGGACGGTGACGCGGTCTATGCCGCGGTCCTCCAGCTTCAGCATGTGGACGAGGTCGCCCACGACGTGGGACACGGGGCGCAGCCGGAACGAGCAGGGCTCCCTGCGCGAGGGCAGCTCCACCACGAGCTCCGGGAGCCCGCCGCGGTACTCCACCCGCACCTCTGCAACACACAAAACACGACGGTCAGGCAAACGACAAAATTTTGCATCAGGTTCCATATTATCGCGACAGTGGTGAACGCTAAGGGCGTCGCTCAATTCTCGGAAAATGTAAACATTTTTTTTTTTGCTCAAATTATTTTCTTTTTTTGAGTAGGGGTTTTCCAGCTATGAAAATCCAGACACATTTACGAGTCTGGCAAGGTGATTCAAAGGGGCATGGGGCGGGAGTGAGTGCGACGGCCTCCCCCTCCCCACCCAGCACCCTGACCCTCACCTGCTTTTGCCACCCGCCCGCAACATCCCGTCTGCCCGCGCCCGCGGCGTGTCGGGGCGGGGCGCCTAGTGCGTGCGCCGCCGGGGGCTCGGGCTCATCCCAGCACACCCCGCAGAAATGCCTTGGCTCGAGCGAGTCGTATTCAGTTTTGATGATCCCCGAAATAGGGTCAAGGAAGATAAGTAGTTGGGGTTGAGCAGATGCAGAGCAAGACTAATCGCATCGATCGTATACCTGGAGAGGGTAACGGCGAGTGTGTCGCAAATTCAACCTCAGATTTCAGAATAAAGCATTCCGGTAAAGCTGAAATGCAGAAGAATGCGGCGAAGAAGAAAACGGAAGTCCCATGTAAAAGCAGGGATTTCCGTTTTCTGCTTCCTTGCATTCTTCTGCATTTTAGCTTCACCGGAATGCTTTATCCTCTTTTCCATTGTGAGGCTGCGCTGCAGTGCGTCTATGCCTGGACTGTTCGCACCGCACAGCCAGCAAAGTACAGAGAGACTAACAGGGCCCGCTGGTACGAACACGCTGGGATGATGACGACTTCGCCTGTCCTCATCAAGATACGCGTTGTACGAGACGTTCCCCTAACAGGACAGGGCGGGGCGCACGCTAGGAGCTCCAGAGCTACTAGCTCTAGCGGGCCAGCGGGCGCACCCTTTGACGTGACCGTGCCGAGCAGGCGGCCTGTGGGCGCGGCGACGTGGCGTGCCTGCGAGCAGGGCCATGCCCTGATCCGCGTGCAGCCACAGCCACCCCACCCCACCCGGCAAACAAGGGACGAGAAACCGTACCGGTGGCAACACGCGAAAACTGGAAAAGTAGGGAGAGGGCGAGAGGGGAGGAAGGAGGAAATTGCAGCGTTTCAATCAAGTGCAGCACAAGTCCCTTGAACAGTCAAGCCGCCCTAGTCTGCCATGCTGTCGGCTTGCTCATCATACGGCTCGGCATGTCAGACCGCAGACCCCCAACCGCCCAACTCCAAAGTCAAAAACTTATCAGCGTTTGTGACACGTCAGGCGGTTGCCGCATCCTGCACAACCCTGCTGGCGATCAAGCCATACTGTAATAAAGTTTGGATTGGTTTTGAGTTCAGACAGCTAATAGCGGGCGCAGGCAGGGGGTGCACGGCTGGCGGGCCTGGCAGTGGCAATGGCCGCAGCGCTCGGACGGTGCAGAATGCGCCCCGGCCGTTGCCAAACACCCTCAGTTAACACCCTAGGTGGGAGGGGCGGACGGGTCAGGGATCAGCTGAGCCCGCTACCGACAGTATGCACCACGGGTAGGGTGCAGTGCAGAGCAGAGTGCACCTCGGCCGTTGCCAAACACCCTTAGGGGCGGGCGGGTCAGCAGCGCTCGCGGCCGGCCGTATGCACCACGGGTAGGGTGCAGTGCAGGGTGCACCCCGGCCGTTGCCAAACACTCTTAGGGGCGGGTGGGTCAGCACCGCTCGCGGCCGGCCGTATGCACCGCGGGGAGGCCCCGGTGCGTGCCGCGCCCGCCGCGCCCAGCCCGGCCCTGCCGCTCTCGGCGCCACACCGTTCCGTTCCACATGGAGGCGGTTTTAGGTGAAGAAACCGACATGGATCCTGGCGCGGCGCGGGCTTGGCGCGGGCGCGGCCCCGGGGCGGGCGGAGGCGCGCGGCCAGTGCAGCACGGAGCTCAGAGGTGGGAGGACCGCAAGCAGGGCGTCAGAGTCAGGGTGCGAGTGCGCGTACTCCCAGTGCGACGGGGAGGCCACCACCATAGGGGGCAGCCAGAGCTCTCGGTACGGCAATGCGGGCGCGGGCCGCAACAGCGACGTCCTCCGCGCCATCGACGCCCTGTGGCTGGAGGCGGCGACCTCCGAGGCCCGCACGGCCGGCGGTCACCCTGGCGGCCACCACCATCACCACCACCACCACCCGCCCTGGGGCGCGCAATGGGGCGAGACCGCGGCGCCGTGGGGCGGGCCGTGGAGTGCGTCGTGGGACGAGCTGGAGGCGGACTGGGACCGCATGGGCGTGGGCGCGGGGTCCATGAGGTGAGTCCAGCACACGACAGCACCGCCAAGGGCCGCACCCGCAGGCGGCGGCCACGCGGGGCCTGGGGTACCCCGAAGGGCACCCCGGGGAGCATCCCTAGGAGCACCCGAAAGGGGCACCCCGAGGAGCACCTCCAGAGGCACCCCGAGGAACATACCAAAAGGGATCCCGAGGTGAACCCCGAGGAACAACAACAAGGCCCCAATAAGATACCAACGTTGCACCCGAAGCAACCCCAAAGCACAAAGGATCACCCGATTCAACGCCGTAAGTAGGCGTCGCGGGACGTGATGGTGCGCTTCATGTAGGCCGGTGGTGCTCCAGCCGCCAGCTCGCCGCGCCGCGCCACGCCACGATGCGCTGTGCCGCTTTCAGGGCAGTGAGAGCGAAAGAGCTGGCGGGGCGAGCTCAAACACACGCTCGAAGTATTAACGAGGAGCTTCGAGGAGAAGGGCGCCGCTGGGGCGTGCCGCGCTGTGCCGGCCCGCTGCTCGGGACCCGGCGCCGCACCGGCTGCGACAAGCCCAGCAGGACGCAAGCGACATGTTGCACCTTTGACGACCTGCAGAGGCGCAGAGTACAAAGTGCATACACTTTGAAAGGCCAAAACCGGGCAATCTGCGCGTTTTCCGCGCTATTTGTTTTCACTGAGAAGCGCAGAGTTTGGCAATTATTGCCCGTTACCGCGGCGCAGAGCCAGTAGGCACCCCAAAGGTGTAATGTACATTACACCTTAGGCACCCCCCTCCCCTCCGCCCCCAGCGTGGTGGGGCAGTCGCTGTGGGGGCCCACCATCCACCTGGCATCGGGACCAGTTTGTCCTAAGGTGATACCACCTTAGTTTGCCCCCCCCCCCCCACCAAGTCCGCCCAATGCACCAAATGCACCTGCGTGCCTTCGAGGTCGCCGCCCTTGCTCGAACAGGTGGTGCCCCCAGCCAACGCAAGCTCTGAGAGCGCCTGATAGGTAGGCAACATTTTGCATGCAGTGCATGCGCGTACTGCAGGGTTGCCTACCCTAAATCTCGCAGGCAACAAGCCCCCGTTATTTTACGTAATGCATCTGAAAAAAGCAGACGTTATTTCTGAACGATCCCGTAGAAGGCAGGCGGAGACACGCGACCGACACGCGCCCGCTGCACACCCGAGCACACCACACATGCGTATATTGGTTTGATTTTTGCCTAACTTTCTGGCAGCACTCCAGCACCCGCGTCCCGCGTCATATGTCACCATTTGGTCTTCGGCTTCCCCTACCCCCCCCC